AACACCATGTCAGTGTGGTCATCCAATCATACAGGTAGTGCTCCACAACCTGTCTGATAATAGAGCACTACAGGAAGTGTTCCATTGGATACTGCAGGAAGTGGTTCACTGTCAGTGCAGTCTGAAATCTGCCACTGTGAAGGATCAATGACTCTTATGATCACCCAGACATTGCTAATGCCTTTACTTAATGCTACAAATGAGGTCAGAGGATCAGATCACATCAAACTGCATTGACCTTCCATTCCCATTCTGTTGATTTGAATGCTCCATAGCTTTCATGGTCACAGCTGTCATAACTTTTTCACTCATTGACATCTTAATACCAGATCAGTGGCAGCAACAGCATCATCTTTCCACCATGTCTCGTGGACTCAGTGTCTACAAACATTAGTCATCAAAAATAGTATGCACGCTTAATTTCTCCAAATGTACAACCACAACACTAAACCATGTTACAGTTGCATATTCATTGGACATTCCCTTATTGTTACAGCATGTCTGTGAAATTCAAACATATCCTCTCTTTAACATGGTAATCAATTCATCACATGTATAATAACATTAATGTATCACACGGCACACACCCTTGGTATGGCACAATCTCAGCAGTAAACCCTGGGCTTACTGCCAACACCAATAACTCCACCAAACTGACCAGATAGTTTCTCATTTCCTTGCAAGCATGTATGATCAAACACAGAGTGGTCTTTTTCCATATAACAAGGTAAATCCTCTTGCCTGGCCTCTGGAGACATAAAACAAGGTATGGGCGCTCTGGAGATGCAGTGATCATGTGCCTGGCTGTGTTTTATTAATTATTGGTCATTGCCAAGACTGATCAAGTGTAAAATGAATGGTGATTTGAAGGCAAAGTGACAGATGATCAAGCATTTTCAAAAACCATAGAACACTATAATTCAAAATTTTAAATACATCTGACATATTAATTCCAGTGTAAATGTGACATTATTGACATGTATCAGTAGATACTGGAAAATGTTATTTTTTCTAATTTTACTTTTTCATCAATTAGACTGCAAGGGTGGGTCTGAATTTATCTGATGTTACACCTAGATTACATATTGGTCTTCAGGGACCCATGCTTGTCATAATACATGACTAATAGGATCAGGCTTACTGGTTGATGCAGGGCATCATATTCCATCAGTGTAAGTCAAAGCTCATAGCATCAATCACTGGATTGTTTGGTCCAGATTCCATTATTTATAGTCTGTAGTCATACACTGGAATGTTACTAAGAGCAGAGTAAAACAAGGAACAATTAATCCCAGGGCTCCAGATAAGGGCCGTAATGGCGTATGTACGGATAAAAAATATGCATGATACGGTAGGAAATAATTTAGAAACAGTAGCAGATACGCACCACAGCAGTGGTGTTTTGTTTTATTGTTTGTATGTATTGTTTTATTGTTTTTTACCTGTTTACACAAGAGTAGCAATGCCGTGGTGCATATATGAAACAAAACACAAGATCACATACTCCATTAAATTCAATTCAGTACTCTAAAAGTTTTTCCAGTACTCCTTTATTTAAAAAATAAGGAGTACGTACTCCTGATGTTGAAAAATTATCTGGAGCCCTGTAATCCTCTAATGTTGCAGTATTTTGAAGGCAATGTTTTGTGGGTAGTCCTCCTCTATCACTGAATGAATTTTTCATTATTCTTTTATGGTTGTTCCAACACTCAGACATGCATGTTTGCTGTTGAACACTGCATGCTGCAATATTCTGGCAGTATGGTGGCAACCTGTACATTTAGTCTGTACCAGGCAAACCAGTGATTGATATTATGAGGAATGATCATCATGATCATCATGATCAAGTCACCAGTCTGATGATATGATTCACTAAGTTACTTCTAGCAACAAGCAGAAGTTGATAAGTTACTATTCTGCCCCAGAGTCCTAAATCCCCACATGACTAATGCAGTTGTAACAGTGTCCAAGATTATGATGGAAGTCAACCTTATAGTAGCCCTAATATTAACTAATAAGTGAGTCTCTTGATTCAAATTCCATCTAAAATCAAAAGGACCTGGAATCCCAACTATTTTCGACACTGTGTAACAGATTCTCATCTCAATGAACAACGCCCCTGTAGGTAGAGTGCTTCTTGAGACGGTTTCTGACATTTGTCAACAATAAACACTTCATGGCAAGATCCATAAATAACATAACAAGGGTAAACCAAACAATCCCTCTGGCTTCCATGAACATCAACCAATATTATTGTTTAACATCAAACAATATTACTGCAAAGTAACCAGTCTGTCAGCACAGAAGACTGGCCAGTGCCACAGGGAACAGACACAGTGAACAGCAAACACATAGATCCATGGCAGGTCAAAGTCTACCCTATTAAGTGAGATGTTCTTCAGCATGACAAATTCTTATTGTGCTCATAAGCAAGAAACATCATCACCTGCACAGAGGTGTCACTACAATGGACATTATCCTTGCATGTTTTGTTTTTGTTTCTTTCTTTGTTTCTTGCTCAATACCGAAATCAGCAATATTACCACTATGTAACGGCAGTCTGTAAATATTTGAGTCTGACAATCCAGTGACCAATATCATGTGCACTGACTTGGACAATTGGGATATGATAACATACATGAACCATGTCCAAGATATCTTTATGGATTAAACTTCTTTTTTAATTTCTCTCACGACATTTCGAGACCATTCCAGGTCCCTTCATCAGTTCACCTGATGAAGGGACCTGGAATGGTCTCGAAACGTCGTGAGAGAAATTAAAAAAGAAGTTTAATCCATAAAAATATCTTGGACATCAATGTACAACTTCTAAATGCCACTGAAAGACATCATACATGAACCAAGTCAGCAAGCTACACCAGCTGCCCCTGTTAGTTTCCTCGTACAAGCATGCCTTGCTGATGACTACATCTAACCCAGATCTTCATGGTTATGTTCTCTTGTACCATGATCTGCCTGAAAGTGAGTGTGTTCAACTCCATTACTCATGTAACTGAATGTCAGCATAACTTACAATGACAGCCTCACTTGACCTTATTCTTCATGTAAAACCATGTGGCATGTTATTTGATAAGAGTTGTGTCATAGAACAGCTAGACTGTAAAGAAATCAAGTGTGGAAAAGAATATTAAGGAAAATAATCCAATCGACCAAGTCACTTTTAATGACCAGCTTAGGTTGCCACGGACATTACAAAACCTTGAATCACACTTTGGATTTTATTGTATGGCTTGGTGTTGACCTAGAATCATAATCAGACCCAGTTTCAAAATCCATGAGGATTAGGAATTGCTGAAGGAGGCAACTCCACAGTGCTGTATCACAAGAATGCCCATTCAGTAAATTGTTTTTAGTTAAGCCTGAATTGAGCTTCATGGCAAAAAGCAGAAAGCAGCTTTTAAATATGGCATTTTGTTTCCACAATGATTTTACTTAGATCAAAATCCATGCTAGCTGGCACAGTAGATTTAAATATTAGTCAGTGAGCGAGGGTTTATCGCCACTTTGAATCGTATATTGGCATGGCAACGTCATGTGGGAGGAAAGCCGGAAGTAATGCAGGTTTCAGACATAGAGCACTTTGATGAAACCCACAAACATAGCATGGTGCAGACAAACCTAGAAACACATACATGGTGAGCCAGGATTCAAACCTACAATAACAGGTTCTGGCATGCTGTAGGGATGCAGCTCTGCACAGTGAATTGCTGCATGTTAGAGCAATAAGGGCCTGTCCACTCATTAGATATGAGAGTCCAGCTATTTCTGAACATCCCCAGTGAGTAAATTCATCGTACACAGAAATGTTAGAGTCTACAAAATATCTTGCAAAGTTATCATACACCTGCTTGAAACCTGTCAAAAGTCAACGAGATCACGAGTGAAATGTAAGCTGAGGTATCGGAGTGTTACACCCTCTTCCCTCTTGGTCTCAGCACTCCTTTGTTTCTTGTCTGAAATCTCTAGTATGATTTGTTGATTCAGTCCATGTGTGAGAAAATGACGGTTTACTGGATTATGAAATGTTTGCAGTTTTTGCAGCCTGAATTCTCAAAACAATATGATTCATCTTGACTATAATTAACTATAACTATTAACTATAACCAAGGAGAGATGGTTAATCATGACCTAATTCTCCACCTCATCAAAATACTGTCACCCTACTTCCCTTTAACCATTTTACATTTACCCTAGAACTTGTAGAATTTCACAAATGTTTGTATGCAAACAATATTCCAAAATACCCTGTTATAGTAATAGAACCTTACTGAACATCCATCCACACAGGGGTTCAGATAATCCTTTGATCAGCATCAAGAGCATTGATGTAAGCAACTGTAATACAATGACATGTATCAACCAAGTCAGCCAGCCTTACCACCCAATCCCAATAAGCCCATCTAATGACAAGCATGGTTTGCTGATGGCCAATTTGTTTGGAAGTGAGTGAATGGGTGAGCTTAGTTTTTACGCCACTTTTAACAATATTCCAGCAATATCACAGCAGGGGGACACCAGAAATGAGCTTCACACATTGTACCCACGTGGGGAATCGAACCCGTGTCTTCAGCGTGATGAGAGAACTCTTTAACCACTAGGCTACCCTACCACACCTTCTTTGTAAAAGGCAAACCAGTGACTGACATTGGGAACAATGATGCAGTTCATCTGATATGATGACACACTCAAGTCACCAAGCCCGACAACTCCATCCTGGTGGGCACCTGTTCAATTCTAGAGTCTCCATGGGGCAAAAACACATCCTGTGAAGATGACAACCCTAAAGGCTTCAGCTTCAATTGGCTGATGGAAAACCACTGGCATGTGAAACAACTGTTTATGAAATGCAATGTTTTCAGCACTCAAGATCCAGGGAAAGAGGGTGAGTGTGTTGAGTGTGATGAGCAAGGCTAAGATGCAGACAAGCAGGAAAAATTAGATGAAGATAAGAATGGAATTGACAACAAAATGCAACTTACTTCTTGCTTTGTGCGCTTTCTTTGAAGTAGGCTGCCATCGGATTTCTGTCATGTCATTACTGAGTGAGAAGAAGCGGTGGTACTGACGACTGTTGGACCGCACCTTTATCAACTCACTGCCATTTTGCATGTACGCCAGGCAGTCCTGGGCTGAAAACACAAACAGGCACTGTTACCTCATTATGTCAGTAATTACCATATTCAAACATTTACTGAAAAAGCATAGCAATCATTTCTTTGCATGTTTATTTGTTGTTTGACAACACAATCAGCAACATTTCATCTATATATCAGCCATTTGTAAATAATCATGTCTGGACACCCAGTCCTGTTACTGACATCATGATAATACGATGACACCTTACAATGACAACCAAGTCAATGAGTGTGTTAATTGATCCATTTACTTGGCAGTTTATTACCATGGTTTATGATCATGCTGGGGGCGAGTTATAACCCTGATATAGCATTTAATATTTCACTGAACAAATTCACAAATACATGTAAGTGGGGAGTGAGGTCTCTTCTCTGGGTTGAACCCTCAAGTTAGCAATGTGCATACAGTGCATTACAAAACAAGCTCCCGTACTAAAAGGATGACACCTTCACTTCCATGCTCATCATACAAGGCAAGTTAATGGATTCAGAGGTCAAGCCAGTTGACTTGGTTAATTACATGTCATTATACCACTCAACTGGTTACAAGATTTACCATGCCATGATTGAATTACTCTGTGCAGGGCTTTCTCGGTTAAAGGCTGGTTGTAAGACAAAGAAATACTGGACTGGTCAGTGGGGACCTGGTTGGTTGCAAGTGACCCCATGTTGACAGCATGGGATGTTGATGTACATAAAATACATTACTGGTTTGTGCGGTGCAGGCTGGTCCAACCCCAATAACTGTTGAGGGTTTAACAGGAAGCTAATGTCATTAGCCTCGAGGTAAAGAACACATAATGTTTCACTGTGAGGACCTTGGTTGCTTAGTTCATACATGGGCATGTTGGTTGTCGAAGGCATGATATACTTTCTGTATATCAAGAAATTTATGACTCATATAGACTTATGTTGACTCCTATATTAAAACGTTTCATGATATTAATGTGCGTAGAACTGGGTGCCGTTGTATAAATGATCTTAGCACTGAGGTGATTGTAACTCCCATTCATTAATACAGACTTACGACAGTGGTAACGCTAAGGTGGCTTCAGCACCCTGTATTTAACCATACAATCTGATCAGCACACAGGTGTAAACTTGGTAAGAACTTTGGTTGAATAATATCATTTGTTTTCTTCAAAAACTTAACTTCATGTGCTTGACATGAAATCAAAACTGGGATATTTGAATAGCGCAAATTGAAATTAGGGGGATGCAGCTAACAACAAAGATTTCAGGTTACAAGTGTTGTTACAATCCTTTGAACATAAATGAGTGTGTTATGGATTCATCATGAGTGCTTCTGCTTTCGTTTTCATAGTGGTGTAATGTTTTGATTGTAATTAAAAATCATAACCAGTTCAGGAAGAACAAAGACACCTTCATGCACTGTGACTGTCATAACAGCTTGATCAACAAACTGGCTACACTTGACCCAGAACTAAGTCAGGACCACTGTCTAAATAGAAGCACTCGCATAAATTGCTTAATTTATTATAAGCTTTGGTATATATGTCATTGCCATAAATTGTACAGTTAAGACCTATACACATTGTTATTTGCAAACATAAGTGGTTCCATTTCTCTGAAATAATGTGTATAATATCGTCTGTAACAATGTTTAGTGATGGGTGTAACATACGTACTGATTATCTCCCATTTTAAACCTGTCTACAAGAAACAATAATGCTAATTAATTAAATACTGTAGTTGCCAATAACATTAGTATGGTCTGTAAATAATTGAATCTGAACTAGTCAATCCAGTGACTGACATCTTGTGCAGCAATCTGTACAATTGGGATTCGATAACATACATCCACATAGTCAGCAAGTATGACCATTGGTCCCATTAGTCGTTCTTACAGGAAGTTAGGTGACCTGTAAATGAACAGTGGCCAGGCACACCTGTGGTTGACAACACAAACAACAATATCTGTTGTTAAGGCACAGTGACACACAATCAGCCAAGTCACACCTGACATTCCCATTGTAATCAATAACAATCCTAAATATACAGTCAACAAACATTCCATATAACACTTCAGAATAGAGTCCAGCATAAGGAAGTAAAACAGTTAACAATGACCATGGTCGGCATATATCTGAAATACTGCTGCATCATACAAACAAAAATACATCAAATGACCAAGTCAAAGTCAATTTGTCATAATACCTCGGTTCCATTTCCACATTGCAATGTCCTAATGTCCCCGCAGGATGTAACCCTGTCCCAGCACACACTAGATATAAGTGCAGACCTATGTCACCTGTATATTCACCCCAAGTGACAGGGGCTGGTGACAACATTGTTGTCACAACACCGTGTGCCATGCCTCGTCGGAGTGCATACCTGGCCAGATTGTATTGAAGCTTACAATTGAACTTAACCTGCATGGATATTCACAGCAATATATATTGTAGGGAAGTAAACATGTCCAGTGTTATCTGCCTTATAAACACAATAATAATGTGTGGTTTTATTTTTTATTGTGAGGGTTTTTCCCCAATAACTTCCTATGTGGTGAAAGTCATAGCAGCTTCCTGGTGCATAATGGAACTTCTGAATGACACTTGTGAAACTTTGACAGGCAAACTTTTCCTGTATAGATAAGTAGAAAATCATTATCAATGCAACAATGAATAAATACAGCTGTTTCATTTCACCATTGTAAGTTAAGTTTATAGGGAGTCAGTTTGTCATGAGCGAGTCATTCAGTTTTTCTTCACCTTTGATATTCTTCACCTCTGATATATTTTTAAGCAAGAAGTTTATACAAAATGTTTTGTTTTCTTTTGGATGAGAATTCACCTGACTGCAAAAGTGAAGTTCATAAAGCATATGATTATGAAGACTGACTGACTGAGTTTGATTTTACACCGCTTTTAGCAATATTCCAGCAACATCACGGCGGAGGACACCAAAAATGGCCTTCACACATTGTACCCATGTGGGAAGCATATGAAGAACATGTTTCGATGTTCAAATGTTAATCACAGGAAATAAACAAAGACAGATTACTTCCATATTCCTACAGAAAACCCTGTGAAATCCCAAGCATGAATATATATAGAACTGTTGTTTCTGATAATTTTAACACTTTGAATGTATGTCCTTGACTGAATATCCTCACTGTGACCCATCGTAAAGACAGAGACTATAACTTCCAAACTACCGACTCGACATACATCAACAAATTGACTTTACTTCTGTTTTCTATTTATTCCACACATCATTATAATCATCTTTGAATCATCAGTCAAGGGATATATGATGATGAATATATCATCTCCACAGACCGACAACTTTGGAAATCTTGCGGCTGAGTCGCCAATCAGGTTCATCGGCCGTTTTGTCTTCCTGTAACTAAATGTATCACAGTCACTGCGATTAATGACTCTAACATAAAATACAGACAATTGTTATGTAGGAACAATTGCATGAAAATGGCTGCAAATAAGCTCCAGAAGAAACGGACCCAATGAACTCACAAAAGTTTCATGGATAGAAATTGATCTTCAGAAACCCACATTCATCACAGGAGATGACAAACAGGATCAGGTGGTCGATGCATATCATTGGTAGATGTAAGCCATCATAGTCCAATAATGAAGATCCACACCCATATGGTCATTCAATAGGATTGTCTGGTTCAGAGCTGATTACCTGGAAATCGCCATCATACTACTCGGTATCATGTGCAAGTAAACAAACAAACATGACTAGTACAAACTGGCGAAGCTCTCTGAAACTCCTGGCACTAAGGCCTTTTGATGCCTTTAGAAGAAGCCCACTTGATTACAGAAAACACTAAAACACTTTTGAAACTATCAACAAACACAGGATATTTTTTAAAACTCACCATGCAGACTCCAAGAAAGAAGATTAAGACACATCATCATACGTCATGCTTTTCCTAAACTGCTATACAACTTGCAACAAGAATGCTTGATGCAAAACATTGCAGTATGTACCCTAAACCTTCCCTGAATTTCTTGTTTGATGGCCATACTAGTTATGGTAAAAACAAGTACCATCTTTTTACATCTTTTGGTATGACATTACCAGGGGACCAAACCACTGAACTTCAGCTCTCCAGGCAGGTGCTCTGGCTACATCAAGGAGGCATTCAATTACCTCAAAATCCTGGTGACCTCTCTTTCTGATTCCCAAAATAATTCTTTAAAAAATACCAGACATATTCAGGAACAAAATGACCTTATGATATATGTGACGTAAGCTGGCACATGTTCAATAACACATGCAAGGTTGTCATGCATACTAACATCTTGCTTCCAATATCTGACACTACTTTTATTCACACTTCATTAAACAAATACAAAAGCCCAGCTCACATACTCCTGGAGAACTAAACCCACCATGCATGTTATTAGAAATCAGCACCAACAATAACAGTGTGTTAACAGTTCCTCTCAGTATGCCCCTGCAGTCCAAACACTCCTAAACAACCAAAAGAACGACCAAACTAACACAAGTGTCCAAGTCGACACAAGTATCCATGGTAAGCCTGACGATTTCTGAAATGATCACCCATCAGACAGACATTAATAGAACCTCTCCAATCTAGGACATGAATCCTGTTATGTTCCTGGCAGCAGTCATGGGTGTAAACCCTGAAAGCTTGTATCTGATCCATCAGCTGGAGCTTGGACAAAACACTATCTGTTTCAGACAGTGTTGTGTTGGAGGGACTGTATTCTCAACACCCTGAAAACTTTCCAAACTATGTTGTTCTAAAATGGTTTTTTAAAGGAAATTTCATTTCCATTTCTGTAAGTCTCCGTGGTACCCACAGATAAAAGGTTAACAATAATTCAGACAGATCATTTATGACATAATTGCAACTCATAGAACATTACAGAGGTTAACTCATTCACAAATCAGGGCAGGGGGGAAGCCCAGTGGTCCAAGTGTTCACTTCTCATGGTGATGGCCCAGGTTTGATTCCACACAAGGGCATAAAGTGTGAA